AACCTTACGAGAAAGACATCACAGCTGGAAACCTAGTGTCAGCTTTCAAGAATTAATGATTGCGTTAACTAAAGTCAATATGGGAGTATCTGATATATATATATATATATATATATATATATATATATATATATATATATATATATATATATATATATATAAATACTCTTTAGCCTAAGTTATTTAAAGTCTTATAAAGAACTGTCATTCATGGTGACGACTATTTGTGGTGTTCATCAATAATGTCCAGTCATAATTTCTGTCCGACTTTGTTTTGCAATGACTCTCCCAGGATTGATCTCTACTCTGAAGATCTACTGATCAACATAGTGTACATGATAGGTAGTTGTGCGAACAAAGACTCTAATAAGACCGAAGACTATTTAGACACGTTGAGTGAATAAATAAAACTCAATCAGTCAGTCACAACGTAGAACCTATACATATGTACATAGGTTCAAGTTGCCATGTCCCATTAGCACAAAGAGACGAAGTTATCAGGCCAAATACCGGAGTGGTAGAGGTAGTAACAGTATCAATGGTAATAGGAAATATTAGGTATCGGAGACACAACTCGAAAATAATGTAAAAATTGGTGAAGTAAAAGCACTAAAAAAATTTGTGAGGTATTTAAAATCACAGAATTTGGAGGAAGACAAAAAATGGATGCACCCACGCCATTACAAATGATTTTTAGTTATGTCATTCAAAGCTCCTAACTATTTGTTACGATAATTAGTTGGATCCCAACCAGTTAGTCTGTGCCTACAAACATGGCTAGGTTCAATTGTCAGTAACTCCATAGACTAATGCTATATTTTAGTTTGGCCACCCCTAGTTTTTTTCCGGCCTTCTGAACAAGAAAACATCGCCCTCCGAGGTGAGCGCTGGTCGGGCATAAGTAATAAATGTCCCAAACACCGAAATAAAGCTATTAACACATGCTTTGGAAATTTCATATGTCAAATGATGCTCTATGAATGATTTACTCTAAAATACAGTTTATAGTGGACAATAAGTTTGGGATGTATATTACATCTTTAATTTGTGGTGGAATAATTGACTAAATATTGTTGGCCATCGGTGTGACGTTCTAGAAGAGGTTTAGCAAGTCAGTAATTTTGTAAATTTGCACTGAGATGGTTGGACTATGTACTACATATGACAAGCAACTGTCTAAACCGGAATGCGGTTTCCACTGATTGAGATCTAAGTTAGGAAAGATGTTTAGGAATATTTTAGGATAGCCAGACCAATATACATTACCAGTTTATAAAGTCGCCAAACATTACCGAATTATGTGAAAAAATCAATGAACTTCCTGGGACGGAATAGTATCTATAAAATGATAGGATTTAGTGCTTGGTGACTCCATACGACATAGCCCAGAATCAATCACAATAGTGTTTTAGATGAGTTCCTTCTCTGGATTTTTCTAGGTCTGAAATATTTTATTACTCGTCATTTTTTTCTTCTTTAGCCATCTAATTATCTTAACATTCTAGTATTTCTGGACGTTATTGGATAACATATCTCTGTTGTTTATTTAGACTCATTTATGCTTAATATATGATCCTACTAGAAGGTATTATAGCTGTGTGGAAACTTTACTTACTTATCATACAAAAATGTCATTTAAAATAATTATTTATTTTGTCTACATATTACGGACTTATTTGCAAAACTTGTAGCATATTGTGGGATGGCGTAGTAAAAAGAATTTTAATTGACTTGTTTCTACAATTAAACCATATTATGAGCTGAATTAAAATGGATTTTGATTGGTTCTCAGACATTTGATATTCTTTAGAAAAAGAAACACAGATTTCAGTGAATTTGAGATTACAGAGCTGACTTTTGATAATTTGGTTTGACAACAGACATCCCGAAGCTCACAGTTTATGGACTGAGAATTATTTCCAATCAACATCATGTGTAGCAGTAATTTATGGCGAAAACGTCAGAAAGTTTGATTTATCCCTGAAGTCATAAAACGAATCGATGTAAAATATTGCTTCGTCACTGTGTCTAAGAATTAAATTTTAACCTCTGATATGTATTGTAATCTTTATAAATTATATTTGAAATAATCTCAGCGATTGAAATTTTAAATAATTCCAACGTTTCGTCCAGCTAACTTGTCTGGACTTCTTCAGGGTAAAGAAGTCCAGACAAGTTAGCTGGACGAAACGTTGGAATTATTTAAAATTTCAATCGCTGAGATTATTTCAAATATAATTTATAATGACTTTTTTGTACTCGGCGCCCAATATCTGTCAAACTATTCGTTCTAATCTTGACGAATATTCGTATAAATTATTGTAATCTTTGTTTAAAAATAATTAGTGCGTTAACTCCATGTAAGATGTCTACTAAGTCTTTAATTTACTATTTGTCATAAATTGTACCAATCACAAAAATACTACACTAGGTAATCCATTTTACTAATACTATTACCGATGGGTTTACTCAAGCCATCTTGACAAATAATGCTCATATTTATTATTAATTACTGATGAATACTAAATTTTTAAAATATCTTTATACGCCACTACTTTTCTTGGTCACAATAAATCTTCCTTTTTTAAATTCTAACATACTATGATGCTTTTCTGAATCGAAAAATGACCAGGAAGATAAATTGAACATTTGATTGAAAAAAACTATACGTATTTTCAACTGATACATTTATATGGGAAAAACAACATTGTCAGAATCATTGTCTCGAACACTATGTCACCTAAACCTTGCGAATATATTCAAAGACAACATGAACAGTTGGAAAATAACTTCATGGCCACTAACTAGTGTGTGTGTGTGTTTGTGGAAATAAGATAGTTTCGCCGATTGCAGAGTAAGATAAACATTAGTGTTTTGAAGTAGTTCATGATGAAATATGAACTAGAAAATAGTAAACAGGAATACAGAACGGAAATAACGGTTTGTGCAATAAGAGAATTTAACCCTTTGTAATACTTATTTTATTAATTGGACAATATTTACGTGCAAATTGCAAAAAAATGGTACTGATAACTACATACAATCGTTTCAAAAAATCATTTGGCTTTCCCACATAAGCCTATTTTTTATGATAAAAATTCCTAATGCTTAGTCTAAGAACCTAATAAAACTCATCAAAAAAAGGATAAAAGAGGTTGAAAAAGGCATATCCTATTTTACATTGATTATCTAATAGAAAACAAAGACAGAAGCAGAGAGATAACATCAGTGTTGCACAAGGATCTTTCATCACTTTAAACCACCAATACTCAACAAGGTTGTGTACCACAACATTTTCATTTAAAAAAGATGATACTTTAAGAGGGATTTTAAATCCTTACTGATTTAATCTCCCAATAGATTATAAAATAGTTGTATATATGAAAAATTGTTATGGCTTTCATAAAACAAAAGACTTTTCTTATGAATGTAGCTCAGCAACTTAAGTAAAGTGTATTGTTTGATTACCCTTTGTCATTTTTATTATGCCTGACGTCAGAAGGTATCTGAGTGTTATTTACCAGAAATTCTGTTACTAAAGGTATATAGTAGTATTAAGGTCGAAAGATGACTTTCCTACTATCTGATCAGAGACCACAGTCTTGTTGCGAAACTTTGAAATTACATAATGAGAACAGTATGTTTCTAAGAAGTAATTTGTCCTTCATTTATTAGCTCTACATAATTCGTTGCGAGTTCATAACTAACTGATGTGGGTTCGAGATCAAAACTAGCTGCGGAGAGAAACTATCCTCGATCATTTATTGCTGGATGCCCTTTGAACACAGTGCAAATAATAAGGCAGAATGAACAGGTGTGATGAACACAGTAGACTATAGCAGATATTCTGATTACCTCTATACACTAGAATTCATTTAATAACTGCAAGTGACAAAAGACCTTGAAAACAAAATACGAGCTTTAGCACGAGAAATGGATGTTTCAGTTTCCACTATTAACCCCACCTTGAATGAAGAAATCCACTACCACTCATAATAGAATCGCAAAGGTAAACTTCATACCGAAAACTTCTCTTGAGAAAAGTCTGTAAAAGGTAAAGAAGCTCTTTGATCAAGTAAAGCATTCTGTTAAATCAACGACAATCTGGTTCTTCATGATGGAAAGTCTTTTTCAAAATCAGTTGCCTAACTCTGAAAACAGATGAGTTCATTACAATCCGAACAAAATTCCCACATTATGAAGATGAAGCTCCCGTAAATTCTAGAGGGTATTAGGCTTAAGTCTTACCGCCTTACGGAGAGTCCGAAAGCCATAGTTGGTGTCCACTGGAGGGTGTGTGTAGCACTAGGATTCGGGAAAGTCACACATCAGAAAAGACTGAGAAATGGTTGACTGAAAATTTTTATTTCTTCACGACACCTGATGTTTGGCCCTGTAACCTCCTTGGTTGTAATCTCATAGAATATCCCTGAGAAGTGATTGAGGAAGTCACCAACTGCATTGCCTGTAACACAAAGACCCAACTGATCAAAGGTGTAATCAAGGCTTTCCTTATGGATGTCGCAAACGCTACACATGTTAGCTCTGGGAGGCGGACAGATGATGCAGGGAATGTTAAAAGTAGCCTCCTTGTTTGACTCTCTTTTAACCATTTTATTTGCCGCCCCACGCTAATATTTTTTCGAATAAATTCATTTTTTACTGAGGTTGTTACATTTTCCCTTTGAATAAAACTGTAAAATCTATCCTGAACATCTTGTATGTAAGCTAGCGAGAAGCCATAATGATGATAAACTGATCTCAAGAAATATTCCTTCGTTAAATCTAATTACATCTAATTCATAATTAGTTAGTGATTATAGTTGAAGTATGTACTTTACAAATAGTTAAACTTGTTTGCATTTAAAACCCGATTTTATTAAAATCACATCATTAATGGTAAAAAAAGTGCGTTTTTATTACTATGACTAATGGAATTCAGCCACGTTGGTTGTGATAACAAATAAAAAGCTCAATCAGAGACAAAATTAATAAATTACCTTTGGTGCTGAATAGGTGTAGGGTCTAATCCGTTCGAACTAGAGGGGACTTGTGATAAATTGTTAAGCATCTGGGAAACAAAAACAACATTATACACCATCATTATAATTGTATCACATCAATACTAAATCACATAATAGTCAAAAGTAAAGTGACATTTGTACCAACTAGTGAAAAAATGCCTTCTGTCTAGTTTATTCAAACTATATGCTAGGTATTACCAAGTGAACAGAGGATTGAACAAAAATTTGATTCAATAATCACAAGTAGGTCCACACATTATGATGGAGCTGTGGTCCATTGGGTTTGGCAGTTAACTTTTCACCAGAGTCACACAAGGCTCGCAATTACAGAAAGACTAAAGCTTAAACCGACGAATCAGAAATAGACGGATGATAATCAAGTTCTTATCCATGTGAGCTAGTCTGATAAAAGTCGTGTATAGAGCCCAAGGGAAATGATATACCTTGTTATAAATTGTTTCGATATAAAAGATCGTATGAGTTTCTAGATCAGAGAATATAAACCAACTTGTAATTTTCGGATATCTATGTTTCATTCAAAAGAACGTGGATCGCTCTAAAACTTTCTGTTTCATTTGCAACTCATACTACCGAGAAACAAGTATGCATCAAACACTGACTCTTAAGTTTTGGACAAGTCGATGTATTGGAGTTTCAAAAACAAAAATGCTTTTTATTTTTTACAGGTAGGATATTAGTAGTTCAAAGTTTAGAAGTAAATACTTCTGAATTCCATACACCAATCAAAAGTTCAGTTAACCATTTTTAGTAATATCTAAGAAGAGCTATCATACTGTTATCTTAGGACTCTTACAACGTCAAACACCACGCCCATATTGGTGATCAGTCGTCGTTCATTTAGATGCCTCAATAAATTTATTCATAGTACTAGCCATATATCCTGAAAAAACTACAACCCTCTACCCTTTTCAGAAGAACTTAACGTTTGTTTTTTGACCAGTTTTAAATAACCGAAGGTTATTATCGGAGCTCCTGTGATTCAGTTAATTTATCCACTAATAACAAACCTGTTTTCGATAGGAAAACCTTTTTAAACTGAACTATTTATTTATTATTTATTTTAACACATAGGTATTGGTACAAGGAGGCACCAAATACATATGCGCCACACGAATCTCAATTGATTAGTGTGAGGGCTGTGATACTGCTCGGGTGCCCAAACTGAAGCAGGTGGTTTTCTTAGGGGGCCACACCCCGAGCCTTTGACCTGAACGTCTGATCCACAAGGCAGTGGAGCATCATGAGGAGATGCAGTCCCATGGAAGCCGGTGACCAACGATTGGTTCATACGCCATTTGTTCCTTCAGGATACTGGCGCCCATGTGCACCATTGGTTTGGGATCCAGTTAAAGCGCCGGACATTCGCTTTTCGTCCTCTCATTTTCGTAAACAACACCCCCGCCACGTGAAGGCAGTGAGTAGGACTTCCCTGGCAGGGGCTATGTACGCGTGGTCATGTGAGAGCATTTCGAGAGGGAGAGCGGACTCTCCCCACTCTCGGCCGTACCAGGGCATTTGGGGGCTTTTAAACTGAACTAGAACCACTGATAATCTGAATATACGAATGGCTTTTAAACTAGTGTTTCTCCTCTTGTTTTAATACAGACTTATTTCCAATTGCATCCACCCATTACATACCGTCATTCCAACAATGTTGGGCTTAAGGAATACAAGCTTTGAAAGGCGGAAGCATTTTAAGTATGCGTGTACTTAAATACGATTGAGATTTTATACAGCTGACAGCTATTCATATAACTACGCTTTCAAACTGTTAATCGTCAACCTTGACTTGCGAGGTCAGGTAGCATATGTAACCCATTCTGATATATTACATGAGTTTGTAAGTGGTCATTTAGCACCGTCTACATACTAAGTCTAAATATTACGAACGAACAACTAACTGATAAAATACTGGGATGAATAATGATTAAATTTTCTAACCAATGAGTGAATGGATAATTTATTTCTGAAACAGTTCCAAACTGCAACCGAAAAGATACAGAGGTTAAACAGGTACATAATGGGATAGTGATTTATAGTAAAATAGTTTACCAATATGGTTTGACCATAGGCTGTTTGTCAGATATCATTAGTTAGCACTGACCAACGAAGTGTCTAATACCTTTAAGCAGTATCTTAAGGCGAATTCTGTGTGTAAATGGGAGTCAAATTACTTGTCTTTTAGAGACAATCATCTGAGTAATATAAACTGGATGGTTTGGTCGACCAAACCATCCAGCTCAGAGAGCAAAACTCCATCAAAATCATCCACCTGAGCTACGAATCTCCACCATCTCAGAGTAATATACACACTTAGCTACATGTGCACTACAACTCAGATGTACCAAATAACATTTTGAGATCACAAATGGTGTTTTATTACAAGTTAACACTTAAATGTACCCCATACGTCAGGAGCAGTTCGAAAGAATTTAGCTACGAAATGAACAGAAAAAGATATAGGATATGTCAACATATAAATAATACATACACTTAATTACAGTGACCTACATTATTTCCGTTTTCCAGATTTTGTACACACACGTTAAGCTTATCCAGCATCACAAATACTGATCCTTTATAATCACATCCTTGGAATAAAGATAACCTCAGTTCGCATTTAGAAACTATCAAGTAAAAAAATAAATGTAGACTTACGAACACCGTTATGCTCAATGAGTATAGAGGAGAGATTGATGGCCGCAACAGCAATTAATACATCAGGTCCCAATTTGAAATGATTAAAGACTTTTATTTGGATGATGCTCTTTGGAGATGCAATAACTGAGATCGACTCATTCCATGTAGGATTCCATGTCTTACGGCAGACTTTGGTTTTGTAAACAAAAGTATTATCAACCAATAAGTCTGCAAACAAATCACCGCTTTTGCTAAATAAGCTTTTACACGACGAAGAAAATGTAGCACATTTAACTAAAACACAAATTAGACGTAATGTGTAACTAACTTGTGATTACTAATTGGCTCAGTCTTCTTGAGAGGGACGTATCACATGTTGTAAGCATAGGGACAGCAAGGACTGTACAAAATGCTAACTAATGCGCTAAATATGTATTCAGATCTGAAGAGGCACGTTTTTCAGGAATGAAACATGAACTTCGGATAACTACAAAGCGGTTTGAAAAATTAATGGGAATGATTGGTGATACCACTAATATTAAAATTACTTTCACCGAGCTTATGTAAAAAGATATTTGAAACGAGTAAGTCATAAAATTTTTACCCTTATAGGTAATAATGAAGCGACCGGGAAAGTGGACTAAAAGCAACAGGAACTCTGTGTTGTTTATTTCGGAATCACTTTGGGATATGCAGTTCCTTAGTAGTGACAAGTGTAACTCACTAACCAAGTACAGGTTTATATAGTGACCCTGTTGGGTAAATCAAAGTAGGCGGAGCATGATCGAACTATAAACCTAATGGCTGAAACTCAAGTGTCTGAACTACTAAAATTCATAGTTAGAACATATTTGCTCTGAAGTACATGTTGTCGTATATTGCTACCATTAGATTTCACGATGGTCAATAGATAGATATAGGCATATGATGACTATGGCTGCCCAATCAACCAATAAACGGGAAATAAAGGGGACGAAAGCGTAAATAAAGGGAAAGTGTCGCTTTTTTGCCTTTACATCGTGTGTTTAGGGGATATTTGTCGACAATTATGCGTAAAGTACGTAACATACGTGGCTAAAGGAAGTAGTCCGTGCAATGTTTTTGTATGTTGTACTTAATTCTTAATAAACATTATTTTGTAAAAGAGCTTACTTTATTACTTACATGGGAAACTATTGAAGTGTTGAGAAAATGTGTTTGATTGTCAGTGAACTTGCGATTAAATGCACATGTGTTATGAATAATACATCACCCGTTTCTTCATTGGGAGATCTTTTCAAATAACAATGAATTGTCAATTACAATGGAAATGCAAAACGATTGATGCTCAAGCCTCTGCTATAATGTTGTACAATAGTACGCTTTTCCTTTTAAATAAAATTATTTAAATGTATACCGTTTTTCCCATGGATTGCAGTTTTAATGTGGTTTGTTGTGGAAATAGAGGCGAACATAGGAGACCTTTGGGATTATGCCAATGATGTTTTAAAAGTTGGATCGAAAACGCAATTCTGTCTGTATTTAGGCGAAAAGTAGATAATTTGGCGGATATTTAGGGGGAAAGTAGACAATTCAGCGGATATTTAGGCGAAAAGTAGACAATTTAGCGACAAAAAGGGGGAAATCCACATTATTTCCCCCGGACAGACGAAAAAGGTGACAGTTCGGTGCGCCTTCCCCTTGGTTTACGAAAGAATTTTCCCCTTTATTCGCCTTTATTTCCCCTTTATTGGTTAATTGGGTATAATTTAGACCACTATAGATTTTACGGCGAAGTACCTTTAAAATTTAAGAGGATTTCGAGAAGAAAGGTCACTATAGTATTAAAATGAAGAATAACCATATAATACTTGGAGACTCCTTCGCAATCCAAACACTATTCATAACCTATCCAGTCACAAGCGTTGAGTGCGACGAAGGTCATGTAAGTACCGCTACTACTGACGTTGAAAACTACGGCGAAAAGCACTGAGAATTAAAAACCTTAACAGGCGAAACTAACCTTTCAAAAAAGAATGGCTTTGTAGAAAATACTGGTCTACTTTTTAAAGTATAAAGATTAGTGAGGAAGGCGTTTCCAAGGCCATTCAACTCAGATAGCGCTTACTATCTAGATTTTATCATTTCAAAGAGTTTAGATGTTTGTTGATAGAATGAAAGGATCACTAGCTCAACGGACTTCCGTGTCTAGCGGCAACAGATTACCAGTGCCTCCATGTAAGAACCTAAGTATATTTCATAAAAAAAATTTGAATTATAGCCAAATACTGTCCTGAATCCTTGAGATTATGTCAAATTTTCACTTGATGGATTTCTGAGAAGTAAGTTGGACCACTACAGATAACTCCGTGACTTGTGAACTGTTAAACAGTAAAAAATTTGGCCTATAGTTCCTTTAATTTCTGGGTATTGCTCCTAAAGTTTGTATTGGAACTGAGCTTAAGTAAGTATTTAGAGTGAGTATTCAGCAGCATTTAAGACTTTACAAGTCATTAAAAGGTCACCTTTGAGACGTTTGCATCTTGATGAGTGAAAACCCAGTGGTTTCGGATATCCTTCATGAGTTTTGGATTTGGGTCCCCAGTTGATTTTGTGACTCGCCTTTAGAAATGTTCCTGTATTTTATTATATTTTTGCAGTCAAGGGGGAAACGTCGTGTTTTCATACTCTAAATGGAGCCGAATAAAACTTAGAGATTAGGTGGAACGTTCCATTCTCAAACCGGCCAGAAATACTCTTCAACTTTACTAGTGCAAGATGTGTTCAGACGCCATTTTTGTCACAGTTAGACTTTAGATCATGGGTTACCAAGCCTTAAGATCCTTTTTAACGTGAGAAATCTGTAGAAAGGAGTTAATTAGTTCGTATGAATAATCTACAATATATCTCACATAAACTACTTCACACTTTGAAGTATTGAAAAGAAGTCCGTTGTTATCTGCCCAACTTTGAAGTCTGATCAAATCCTCCTGAAGTGCCAGCTTATCATCTTGGTATTAAGCTCCTCTTTAAAGTGATAACTCAGACGATACTTGTTGAGGAATGTCTTATACATAAATTAAAATGAGAAGAGGTCCAATAAAGAACCGTGGAACCACACTGAGGCAGTATGAAGCCTGGAAAAAAATTGAGTTTACCCTGACCTTAAGAAGTCGATAAGGAAGTGAAACAAGTTTTAAGAAGTCAAGGTATATCACACAGATCCTCCTCTTGAGATCAAGGATGTTTATTCATCTGTTCACCACAGTCATCAGATTGGTTATACAGGAATGGCCATTCCTGAAATGACGACTTTGGGATGAAAAGAAGTCACGCAAATGACCGTGTATCAAGGGCTCCATAACTTTTGAAGGTATTGAGAGAAGTGCTACCGGCAACTAGCTTGAAGTTTCGCTGTATTGACCTCCTTTGAAAATTGGTAATGTGCTCTAACCTCCAGCTATCTAGGACCATGACAAGGCCTAGAGAACGTCAGAACATTATAGTAAGCAGTATTAACAAGTTTGAAGCCACTTCTTTCAGTATTGAAGAATGAACAATATCCATGCTAGACGAAGTGTCCTTTCTTGAATGCTGCAGTTTCTGATACACCAATCCACTGCTCAAGTTTACTCCGCAGACTCCTCCTAGATTGCAAGTGAAACTCTATGATGTAATTTCTACGTGATAGTTGAAATGTTCGGAAATATTGTTGCTTCAGGAACTTTTGGGGATCACCGTCGTTGTTGTTTGGCGGTTAGGACCTAACAACTGGGAAACTCAGTCTTTGGCTTGTTCAATAGAGACAGTATGACGGAATAAACTTTTAAGATTAAAGACGGATTTATCGATATGCATGATCTGATAACGAAGTCTATCTTCTCTTATCGTCTTCATATATTGTCCCCTTGCTTACATGAGGTGCCTCTATGTCATGTCGTTTCTTATTCGTTTGAATTCCACCCAATAGTAACCTTTGAATCTTTGCACTCGAAAAATTCGAATATTTATAACTGTGCGTTGCTCGTAACTTTTTGAGACCATTTATGGAACAGACTGGTTGGTAACATGTAATATCGTATGTAGTAAAAAATTCTTGTGAGGGTTCACATCAAGTTGAGAGTGGACCTCCTTGGTAACTAGAAGTATTTGGATTAATGCAATAACTAGGACTTCCCGAAACAGTGTAATTCAAGCCATGTAGAATCGGATGAGCAGAAATGAACGTATTGTATTTGAAACTCGTAATAAGAAGAGGATTCAGTATAAAAGAATCATTAGTTTGTACAAATACCTTAACTTCCCAGTTCACCCACCGTATATTGCCCATTAAAGCTATTACATCTGAACGTTGAAATTCCCAGCTCCTGTTGTTGTTAGGATATTTCATCCCATTTTGCTGATAGAATTGAAAGCTATGACGTTGTGAGCGCTTTTACCCAAAGGAGTCAGGGTTAAAAAGTTATTAATCATGAATTCTTTGTTTGGGAAGGCAGTCTAAGAGTAATGGAGTCTGAATGTTTCTCAACAGAGTTTCTAACTTCAAATCTTTAGATCATAGTTTTTCAGTGAGGTTGAACAAGTGAGCTTCCGTAGAGTTATTGCCTTTATTGTGCATTTGTTCAACGTAGTTGACTTGAGGAGGATTGAAGTTTATCAAGATTAGGATGTGAGTGTATCCGTGGAGAACAGAGCGGGACGTTCCCTACAGCACGTGATCGTCGTACTCTGTGTCAGCAGTAAGCTTTCTGTATGTGACCGCGACTGAATATTTTGAAGTATTAAACGATCTCATTGAGTACCATACATATTCACCAAGATTGATAAACCCTTGAGTGTGTATTTGGTGTGACAATAAGAAGGATTCTATATATAGGGTTGCCTTGCAAACCATTCCAGCTTTACTGTCTTCCAAAAACAAAAGCACTATGGGTATAGACAGCTCCTTTGCTGTGGTTTGAGATTCCCATGTTTCAGGTATTCTCATCAGATGAGTACAATTAGGATTACTTAGTTCACTAAACTTCGTTTGGTCCGGTCAACTTAGAGTGTTCGTATATGAGTAGTTGATATTGTCATTTTGAAATGCATGTGGGTCCTCGTCCTGTTTATTTTTATGTGCCTTATGGTAATATGCAGGAAGTTTAACTACGCAGAGTTTTCTGAAAATGTGGTCCCTTTCCCCCCACAATAACTACTTTAGTAAGTAACTCATATTTTGAGTGCAGATAATTCGATAATAATATAGGAAGACTAGGAATAATGTTTTATTTTTTCAAATAAGGAGTCAGATATGTGGAGTTAGTTAGAATGCCTATTTGAAAACAAATGTTATCGTCATTCAAATTTTCCGCAACATAACGTAGTTTGTGGTGTCGTGGTTATGAGCTGTTAAACCCCTTGCGCTCTTTTTTATGTTTCGCTGATTATTGATAACGTTGGGTGGAAAATAAGGTTTGGGGTTTCTTCGTAGGTTCTGGATGTTATCGAGCTATTTCGGGGATCGCTATTTTGCTGCCTTAAATGCCAATGTTTGCTATGTATAAAACTGTGATTCACATCTTATCACAATTAGTTTTATAGTGTCCTTTTACATTCGCTCAGTCTTTGAAAATTTGATTCGACTATGTTGATTGAAGAAATTATGTGCTTCTGGCACCTTTAAACTTTTATTCATTGGATTCACGTGTTTCTATATATTTTGTATTACCTATACTTTTATATTTATCCTATATATTTCTTCTGGAACCTTCTTGACTTTTTGGTATGATTGCTGATGAGTCTCCTAACTTTATTACGAAAATAAATATAGTTTTAATATTTTGACTTCATTGCTGTATGACGCTTACTTGATTGTCAGGTCGTTTCTTCATTTCACAGGATCTATCAAACTCATACTGGTAGTTGGGTCTATTTAAATATAATTTCTTATTTTCCTCAGATACCTGATACAACTCAAAAATCATTCAGAGAAATCCTTTTTCCTTACTTTCAGCTTATTCTCCAGCTCTCTGTTCAGTCATTTTACCCAGAACATATACAAGTATTTGTTTGATTAGTTTTAGTTAAAATGAATTTTTCTAAACGATATCAGTGATATTACTGAAGTTTCATCAGTTGAAGAATTGCATCAGTAAAAATATAGTAATAACGTGATGAAGAATGATACTTACGTTTAATTTCGCCTTAAAATTCAACATACCTGTGAAAATAACCACTATTGCTCTGGTGAGTTTTACAGACAAAATATATGCTTCACGTGTCAAAACACAAAGGTTTATGTTATACTGAAGGACATTATTTACTCAAATACTTTGAACGTGGTTTGATGTTTTGTTTAAAATCTCAAACAAAATTGGTGTCAGTGGTCCTAGTGTGGTGTATGCTACTAATGTTAACAGATATATGTAATACGTAACACCGTTCATAGGTGGAATATCTATCAACAGAATGTTGTGAAGATCGAATAGATGACAAAAGGAACGTATACAGAGAGTGGTGGTAATAAAAACAAGAATCAGAAGACGATGAAATTTGTGAGACAATTGATGAAATATATGCAAATGAAGTATTTAGTATATGGTTTTCACAATCTACGAAGAAACCATAGTTTTGTATCAAACAATAAATTGGTTTCCCCCACCAGGTCGTTTTTCACCACACTAGAAACCAAAATGTTCCTGGATGCATAATGCTTTAACAGTGCTGGCGCTCAAGTCTCTTATGATAAAACAATGAGTCTGAGTATCATTGAGTGAGAGGATACATTTGAATGATAGGTAAACATATCAGAATGTATAACTTTAAGTACGGCTGATTATCGGAATAGACGTTTTTGCGTTCACACTTTGCTCTTTTCCGTTATCAAAGCACAGTCGGTAGATCTACTTGTGACTTGCGAACCGAATAACAAGAAAGCCATATTCCAGTACATGTATTAAAATTTGTTCGTAAATTACAAGTAAT